TTGCTAACTTTATTTTGTTCTTGAGATGAGCCCATCTCTGGTCAAAACTGCAGATCCAGTAATTCTTGATTGCTGGTCTGTTCTGTTCCCACAGAGAACAGCGTGTGCCTCTCCTAAGTTGAGACAGGGTTCAACAGCGTTACTAGGTTTCTCCCACCATGGATTGTGTTTTGCATTAGGGCCCAGCCCTACTGGCTTATCCTGTCCCTGGTAGATCTGCATCTGTCCTCTTGTCTTGTCGAAAGCAAGTGATGATCTTTAGGGAGGGATTTTCAGTAGTGCTTCTCATTTGTCTCTTTCAAAAGTTTTACTATTGGCCTCGGTGTGTGCGGAGCTGGGCCAAGAACGACTGTTATGAGGGAATCTGTCCCAAAGGTTGAGTCTCTGAATGAAAGCTATCTAAGAGATCTTCCCCTTCCATGCGTTCCCAGTTGCAAGCGGCTGCTGTGTTAGTAGGCAGAGTTCTCTGAAGTGGGAGAGCTGCCGCCTCTCTTCCCTGACACCGTTCTGTCTAGGACTGTGTGCACTTACTGTTACATCATTTCTGTGACACTTGCAGAAATTACAGGGGACTGGCCCACTCATCCTGACAGAGGAGGAGAAGAGAACGCTGATAGCAGAGGGGTACCCAATCCCTACCAAACTCCCCCTGACAAAAGCAGAGGAGAAAGTGCTGAAGAAAATTCGCAGGAAAATAAAGAACAAGGTAAATATTAGTTAGCTTTGCTGGGTATTTCCCATTCATCCTTCATTTAAAAAATTGATGCAACAATTCTGCAGTAATGGTCTGTCGTACTGTTGTAGTTACCTTTGCTGGGTAATTCCTGCTCACCTTCATTTAAAAAATTGCTACAACAATTCTGCAGTAATGGTCTGTGATACTGTTGAATGCTGTAAGATGTCTTTTAACAAAGTGTTTTTCTTTGTTCCTAAACACATCCATCAAATTCTTTGTCACAATGACAGCGTGCTTCTGTCTAGGTATTTACCTGAACACATGAACAATAGAGTATTTAGCAAGCAGGGTATCCAGTTGCTGGTGCTTGGCTCCACTTTAAAAACAGTACAATCCTACCCTTATGGTAGATGAGTGGTTGATACCAAGGCTATGAAATGCCCTACAGGTCTTTTCTTTCTTCCAACGTGGGGAAGAGCTAGTGATAGAGAGGACAGCATTTTTTTCAGACCTGGCCAGCACTTGTTCTAGAGGATATTAGCACATCTTTGAAGGTTAATGCAGTCTGTTGTTGATTTTGCGGATAGAGGTGTAAATTTGTGGAAGTGACCTTGTGCATTTTATGTACCACTTTCATATGATCAGAGTAATTTATATTGGAAGGGATCTCTGGAGGTCCTTTGGTTCAACTCCTAGCTTTGAAAGCAGGGTCAGCTTGGATCACGTTGCTCAGAGACTTGTCCAGTCACCTTTTACTGTCTAAAAGGGTGAAGAGTCCCCAGCATCTCTGGGCAACCTGTTCCTATATTAGGCCACTCTTGTGGTAAAAACAAATAAAAATAATTCTTAATGTCTAATTGCAATTTCCCTTGTTGCAACTTGTATTTGATGCCTCTTACCATTTTGCTATATGCCTCTGAGGAGACTCTGACATCATCTTCACCACACAAGGTAGTTGAAGACAGCAATAGGTTTCCCTTCTTAGCATTCTGTTCTTAAATCTGAATAAACCCAGCTTTCTCTGCCTTTCCTGATATGTCAGGTGCTACAGCATGCTTATTATAGCAGTGGCCCTCCTGTAGACTTGCTTCTGTACGTCCAAAGTATTTATTTCGGAGCCACAACCTGTATGCTGTAATCAACTGTAGTCTTGCAGGCACTGAATAGAGGGGAAGAACCACTTCTCTCAACCTGGTAGCTACAATCTTGTTAAGGTAGACTTGGATCTGGTTGGCTGCGTTTGCTGCAGGGGCTTATTGCTGACTTATGTTTGACTTGTTGTTCATCAGGACATGCAAGCCTTTTTCTGCAAAGCTGCTTTCTAGCACATGCATGGGCTTTTCCTCTCCCAGATGCAGGGCATTGTCCTGGGATCATCTTTTAGTATTTGTCCTAGGATATTCTCTCCAGATGAATCTGATTTACTTTTTAAGGTTAGTTCTGTAAGAGTGGGGAATGATCTTTTTGCTGCTACTGAGAGGCGCAGTCTTGCTTCAGGATATGGAGACAGACCAAGTCAGTGCTTTGCTTAGCAGGAATAGAAATGAGAACAGCACGGAGGCTTGAATCTATTGTCAGGACTTTTTATCTGTTTATTAATTCATCTCTGATGCTTTTTTTTCTATGCAAATATTTGGTATTTTTCTTCCTTTTTCCTTAGATCTCTGCCCAGGAAAGTAGAAGAAAAAAGAAAGAATACATGGACAGCCTGGAAAAAAAGTAAGCCAGCCTCCTTCCTGTTTCAAGTGGGCCAATAGCACTAGTTGCTGGACTGGGAAGGGATCCAGCTGTTGATGCTGGGACTGTTTTGTGCACAGAGTGCCAGCTGCCATCTCGCGGTTGTGACTGAGAAAAGACCCTTCTTCTGGCTTCTGCTTGTACGGGTGCTGGGGTGCTGCGTTCCTAACTGTGTCTACCTCCAGCACGTTGCTAACATGCCGGCTAGGACTTTAAGCCTTAAATAAAGCAAGACCCATCTGCTATCAGCCTCCCCCTCATGCAACTCTGATGGCCTAATGGCTGGGCAGTGTCCAGGGAAAGGTGCATTCAGCGTGAATATATTCTATCTTCTAGTGCAGAAGGAGACAGAAATAGGAAGTGGGTGTGCCAAGACTGTGAAAATAAGCAGGACTCAGGAAAACAGCATGTGACCCATCGACTTCCTTTAGCGAGAAGGAGCCAAAGCCCCAGTTAGTGATTTGTATCCCAAGTTAATCTTCCTTCCAACAGACAAATATTCTAGTATTTCACTTACGCACTTCACCAGATGGATCTGTTAAACCCGTTGTACCATCTTTGGTGATATCCTTGATGTAATTTCCTTTTTTCTTTCCTTACCTCTTTATTGATGAGTCTTGGTTTTTCAGAGTTACTCTTGTGAATTCTTCCATATACATACAGATATCAAAAGCTATTTCCCTTTGCCTTTTTCCTTCTTGAAGCTATTCCATCTGGTCATGTTTGTCTTTTTAGGAGTCCCATATTTTTACTTGGAACCTCTTATGTGGCATGTCATATGGTAACCAACTTTAGTTTTGGGGGTTTCCAGAGGCAGTGTGGAAATGAGCACTCTCTTGGAAACTAATCCTCCTGGCTTATTAACCTCTCTAAACTTGAAATTCAAGATCTGATTTCAGAAGTATGGCATTTGCTAAATTGCTTAGTGCCTCATCCTAGCAATGAAATGCATACACGGAACACCTTTGCACAAAATACTTGATAACAACATAAATATAGCATGTTCTGTGACTTTTAAAGTATATGTCCTATGGCCTGGTGCACAGAGAAAGTCTGAGCAAGGTCTTTGCTGTTGCTATTTCAAGGGGCAAAAAGTAGATACAGCCCATCCTGAACGAGCTGCACCTGCTGGGATGTAGCTGAGCACTGTAAGCAGGTGCTGCACAGCTAGTAGTATCTTTTACAATGTCTTACACCATGAAGTATGATTAAAGATTATGACTTAAGTTCATTGGTGTAACTTTTCATTAAATGTAGGCAAGATCATAGAGCTCTTTGTGAAAGCAAGTTTAATAAATGACTGATTGCTTACATTCCTCTTTCTTTCCTTGTGCTGTCTCCAGAGTTGAGACTTGTTCAAATGAAAATAGTGAGCTGCGTAAGAAGGTTGAAGTCCTGGAGAATACTAACAGGTAAGGTATGAAGGGAATAAAACTGTAGCATGATATTACAGTGAAAAGTGAATATCTGGAAGTTAAGAGATCAATTGAAATGTGAAAAATAGCTATATCTGATATAGTTAATGTCAAAGAAAGACGTGGAAGGCCAGTTATTGTGACTGCAGTGTGATGTAAAGCATAGAGGCTTTGATGTCAGGTCTTAAACTGTCTTACTAGCCTGTGGTGTGCTTGAGAAACCTTAAAGCCCTCTTTGAGTTCTTCCGCTGCCCAGGGAAACATGATTAATCATACATAACAAACAAAAAAAGTACAGTCCAGCTCTCCAAATGGTCTTTATTTAGTGAAATACTGTTTTGACAGGAGACCTTGACCTGGAGCATGACACTTCCAGAAACTACAGTGCTGAAACTCAAGAGTCATTATTAATTCCTTCTGGACTACTAGATGTCATTGCAATTATTGTGCACACTTCTAACCATCTCACACCCCAGAATTTCCTTCATTTGGAAGGGGAAAATCAACTTCTTGTTTCTTAATTTCTGTAGACACTGGTGACTCGGTGATGGCTTTCTCAAAGGACACATGGCAGAAAATGTTAAATAGCTGAGCTTTTAAGTAGATGTTAACTGAGAGTGGATTGTCAGTCCTGGCTTATGCTTGGTGTGTTCTTTAATGATGGCAAATTCCAATGAGTGGGTACTAGATAAGCCCACTGTTAACAGCTTCTAGTTAGAGGCATTTGTAGTGATGGTTGACTATTATCATTGAACACGATGGTAGCTCTGAAGTGTGGGAGGAGGCTGAGTTTTGAAGATAAGACGCACAATCGTGGAAAATGGCCCTAGAGCTTGTCTGGCAGCCGATGTATTGCTAATTGAGTGGCATGTGTTGTTTCTAATCTCCGGATCCAATCTCTAATTTCATGGAGCCAGACCCTGTAGCACTGTACTTTGCTGGAGAGTATCTCCCACACACTGCTCATGCATAAAGACATCTGCTGCTTGTTTGAAGAGAGCCAAGCCATTTCTGTGCTTATATCTTCCTCCAAGGTTTTGCATAAAAGAATCAGGAGTTGTTCTGTAGGTGTAGAGTAGGATTTTCTCTTCCAGGATCTGTCCCGGGAGGTGGTGAAGCCAGCTGCTCTAAGGAAAGGTGCAGCTGTAGATGAACCACTCAGGGACAACATGTTGTCAAGCCTGGAGTTTTCTCCCCAGTTCAGCTAAATTTGGCCAGCTGTTTTCATCTCTGAGTTGTTGTGGGTGCGGTCATAAGAATAGCTTTGTTGGTATTGTCCATCCTTTTAGACAGGATCTTTAGCATCTTCTCTATTATGTGATGATCTTAGTGTTCTCACACTAAAAGCTCTAAAAATATTTAGCTAAGTGATACTATCTCCAAATCCTTCATACTTTGGGCATGTGGAATGACTTGCATTGTTTTCTTCTCTCTGGAATAGCATTGATATTTATGTGTAATCTCCTGCAGAGAAGCAGATGTTCCTGACCCTCTGCACAGAAACTCTTGTAATTCATGGCGATGCTGTTTTGGCTATTTAGATACAGGCTGTATCTAAAATCTGTTAAGGCTTCAAATTGAAGTACTGAGAAATTTGTAAAAGTGCCTGCTTGCATCAAGCCTGAATTATGTAACATACCACATTATGGATTTTTTCACCTTACCCCAAAGAGCCACTTTTCTTATTTAGTGTATAATTGTGCAACTATCTCATTCAGAGAATGGTTCCAGGCCCTTGTTTAATATACATTATCCACTCCCTACAGTGAATTCAAAATGTTTGGTTTTCTCATTGGTATTTGCACAGAACCTTGATGTGACATCCAGAAACTGTTCAAATGTTTCAGAACTTGTCTTCACAGCATCCTATAACTGGTACTTCTGTCTCCTGTGTGCAGTCAGGAATCAAAGTTCAAAGCAATGATGGTCAAAACTATGCAGTGACAGTTTATTCTTGGATGCCCAAATTTCTATGTTTAGGACTTTATTTCTCAAAGTGCTTAGCACACATTTGTACACACATGTATCTTATTTAATATGCCAAAAGCAGAGCCCCAGTTGACTTTAGTTGCAACTTTGAGTGTTCAATGCAGTAAAAAATGAAGGTCTTGTTGAAGATATTATCTAAAAGTAGATCTACAAACATTAGAGCTTGTTCTTTTGTTGTGAAAAATTGTAAGAGTGGAAGAAAGATAACAGGAAAGAAGGAGCTGTGGTTACATGTAAAAGTGTTCATGTATTCAAGTGTAGATGAAGACAAAATTGGTTTTTTACTTTGTTGGAAAATTGGGCTATAGCTGCTTATCTAAAAGTTCATGCACATGTGTATGCTGTCAGTATCATGTTTTTGTAGTCTGGCTGGAGTTGAGAGGAACTGAAGGGCAATTTCCAAAACATACAACTATTGAACAGTAGAATTTCCTTTCAGTATGTTCCTTTCAGTTTTTAGAGCATGTTATTCTATATATAGAACACATTTGCACAGATACATACCTAAGACTTCAGGGAAACCCTGCTTGCATTTCAAAATCTGGCTCCAAATCATGGAAACACTAGAATTTCTTCTGGTAAGTGTTCTTACATTATTCTCAGTAACATGAAAAAATTTAGAAGAGTCTTCTGTGAGAGCCTGCCTTAGCCTGAAATTCTGGATCTGAAAAGATGTAACGTAAAAGGTGCAAGCATGGTAAAAAAATTTGCATCCAGAAGCATCTCCCTTGACATTCATGCATCTTAAAAGGCAAGGCAGGAGGCTGGGGATCAAGATGCAGGGGATTATTTAACTCTCATTACTCTGCGTGAGTGGCTGCAGTGTTTTTGGCATCTTTAGTATTAGAACACTAGCATATGTTTCCTCTCCTAATTTATGTGAATCAGTCTCTTAAAAGACACCCATCCAAATTCCTTTCTAGGCAAGGAAGTGTGCAAACTAAGGAAGCACAATTACATGCATACCTTTTGAGTCTTGCAGCCATGAGTGAGCAAGGCTTTCATTGGTTTGAGTAGCATCTGAACATGTGGGGCATTGCTGTCTTAGAAAGCAAAGGGTGTGAGAAGAAGCTGGCACCAGGAGTTGAACTGACTTGTCGCAGTCACCAATAAGGCTTGATCCACTCATGCTTTGGCATTGGGACTGAAGGCAGAAACTGCCAATGACCTAGGAGGCTGAATACACTCTCTGACACCAGCGTTGTTTAGCTGGAAGCCATGGCTATTTGGGCTTAAAGACAGTATTGAAACATCTTGTACTGTATATGACATATGAGAAGTATTTTTGCTTTTCACTTCTGTTGGGTTTGTATTTATAAACATATTGATGATCACTTTTCCTGGAGAAATGATAGACATAGGATCCAATTAGCATATGGTTGAGAGTCACACATGGACAATGTGTGCAAGTAGCTGCTAGAGTTGTTCCCATGGAGTAATGACTATCAAGTTATGTAGGTCTCCACTCTGACAGGCACCTTGAAGACAATGGCTTTATAAATACAACTGGGATGTTCTTCCATTTCTCATTCTCCTGCTCAAGCTATTGTTATAACTCCCAGTCATCTGAAGATCAAGTTGCATATAATTCTGACCCACCAAGGGTTTATCAGTGCTAAAGTTGCTAGACTTCACTGATTTGCTTGACTGTTTCCTTTATTTGATGCTGGTAAAGTCATTTTACCAAGTCATTTTCAAGGAGTGAAGATCTGAATTTAAGTTGCAATGAGGTATCTTGCACTTTATTTCATACCACCCTTATAATAGTTTACAAAACATGGCAGTCCTGGAGCAACTCCTTGTTTTCAAAGCAGCAGGGCAGAGTTTTTTATGCTGAAACATCTTTGATGAAAAATTGCTGGATTTTTTCTTTGTAATTTAATTGAGGAAATATTGTGGAATTTTTAATGCTTTGAGGTACTCTGGTCTTTCAGTGAAAACTTTACTTTGGGATTTGCCCTCTTCCCTACAAATAGGACAGACAGAGAAAGAATCTGTTTGTAGAGTTGGAAGACAGAATGGTTTTCCTCGCTTCTTATCAAAATCAGGTTTTGTTCCTCACAAAGTAGATAAATTCTCTGAAAAACCTTGATCAAAATAAACAATGTTTGGTCTCCCCTAGAAGCTGTCTTTTTTTGTTTAAATCGATGTTGGATTTTAAACATAAACACTGAATTGAGGAAGCTTCCCAGGTGACTAGGTGACAAATCTCTCCTTAATCAAAGTGTCACTGAAGCAGAGGGGAAACCTTGACTAATTCCTTACTTTGATAGTGGAAAGGGCTCTTCTGAAGATGAATACATGAATGTGCACATGAAAACAAGACATCACAACCAGAGTGAATTTGCTGGCAGTGTGTGGAAGGGAGAGCAGGAGTCTTCAGTCACTTTACAGCTTTCCTATGAGGTGCTTCCATTGGCAGAGAAAAGCGTAAATGCACGTTCACACCTCCTACAGAGGTGACCCTCTAATTGAATATCATGGGGAAATGTGTCAGACACAGTGAAAACAATCGCTGTGGGTGCAAACCCCCTTAGGCACCCTGCCTTAGGATTGCATTTTCTCCTGTTAGGGCTTAGCTATAGGCAATGTGTTTCACTAAAAGCATTTGTGACCTTCCTGGTGCTGTTTAGAGGGAGCATCTTTGTTTAGCATTGGTCCCTGCTCTGCAGAGCAGAGAGGTGCTCCTTTTCCCTCTCTTAGTCCAGATCATCCCTGCAGCTGTCCAGGAACAATGAAGGCAGCTTTTGCGTGGGAAAGGAGACTTTTGACCTCTGAATCCAGTCTTCCACCATTCCAGATTCAAACAGAGAATAAAAGCACCAAGGAATGCCCTATTTTGGTGGTGGCAGAGTAAACTGGTATCATCTCTGAACAAACTAACTTGTTTCTTGCTCTTGCTCTTAGTTTGAAAATGCACCTGTAGCCTGCCAGCTCCCAACACTGAGTCCTTGTCTACTGAGAAGACGACAGTAGCTCTGCTCAAACAGATAAATGACTTGACAAAAACATTTTACATGAAGGTAGTTGGTAAATAAGGTGGGGGATGAATCAGAGACCTCAGAATCCCTGCCTAATTATACTTTCCGAAAAGAGTGTTTTGGAATCAGCTTTCTGGGCCCGCTCTGCCCAGCAGGTTTTTTAAAATTGAACACAAAAAGGCAGAGATGAGCAAAATAAGGGGAGTTACCTCTTCTCTGTTGATTTCCTCACCAGCCATTAGCTGTTTTCTCACTGACGCCTCTACAAAAAGTGGCAAGAAAGATCAGCGTTTCAGGTCTGCTGCTGCTGCCAGCCTTGGAGCTAGGGAGGAGGAGAGCTCCATCCTCGCTCCGCAGAGCTGTTCTGTGTTCAACCCAGTGACTCAGGCCTGAAACAAGGGAAAGATTTAGTCTTCTATAATAGCACAGAAATTGCAGGGTTAAAAAGGCATTGCTGTATGACATAGTTGGTGGCATATGGTGGGAATACTGTATGCAGCACGTTCTGTGCTGGAAAATAATACATGCCATGTACACAAGCTTTTGTGAACCCTATGCTGTGTGGTAGATGTGAGGAGGAACTGGGGAGAGATACAGAAGGGAGCAGGGAATTAGGATGGTCTCACTTACGTGATGGACAGTGTTTCATGTCTAATTTGCCTGTGGTCTCTCTAATAGTGAATAAAGGACTGAATTAGATGAATCACTTTCTTTTTTTAAATACTGAGTTGCAGAATAAACCATGCTCTCAAGAGCATGCAAGACATCCTTCCTTAATAAGTTGAGAAAGATCTGCTGGCCCAGATAAATCTGTGCTGTGAGTGTGCCTTGTGCTCATTTCAGAATGCATTCCTGAAGTCCTTGAATTCATTAAACCCTAATTAGCAATGAGCATTGATGATTAAAAAAATCTATAATAATAGGCAGACTGGTGTATATTGAGCTGTGAAGGCACCTCTGGGTCTGTCCTACAATTAGCTTTTATCCAGTTTGATCTTAGAATAATCCTTCTATTTTCTCTGAGATCCTGACCTTGCCTCTTGCTTTAGCATTTGACGTCACAGCCTCCAAAGCTGTTGCCTGGACTTTTGTGAGGGGTTATCCTCCATGATAGATTGTGAGACTTACAGCAGAAGTGAAATGTGAAGTTAGAAACAAACAGCAAATTTAACATCTTGATACAAAATTGTACTATATTTGTGTCAAGGTCAGACATTTGGGTTACTCCTTGTCTGTTAAAAAACTTTAATGAAAAGAAAATGAAAACTGCTCTGAAAAATTAAAAACATTCTACTACTACTAACTTCCAAACAGGGGACTTTAACTATCTGTATATTATCATAAATGCTGTATTATTGCCAGGTGTGGAATTTGAAGAAAAAAAGCTGTTTAACCATTAGTGATCAGTGATGGTTAACAGATCAGTGTGTGTGATGCTTGTCTGTTGTCTTTGCTTTCCAGAACACTTCTGCAGCAGTTGCAGAGACTCCAAGCCATGGTTGCTGGGAAAGTGTCCCGTTCATGTAAAGCGGCTAGCACACAGACAGGGACCTGTCTCATGGTGAGTGTCCCTAAAGCTGGGGATTGTAGGGGAATGAGAATCTCTTTCCACTGCTCAAAGGCACATCCCTTGTTCTATAAAGCCCCTTGCAAATTCTCAGCTTGGGAAACTTCTCTTCATAATTTGACAGTTAATTTTGAGGTAGGTGAGTCTCCTGGCTGATGAAGATTAATGGTTGTGGGAAGGCATTAAATTCTGGAGGAGACTGGGCCTGTGTTTTTGATTGGGTGTGATGAAAATGATGAAAGAAGGAGCACTGCTCCTCTGAGTGACCTGTTTTATTATTTTCTACGATACTCTATGTGAGAAATGGTGTCTAGGGTTGTAAAATGAAAACGAGGGTGACCTTTGATGCCATTAAAAATAAACTTTCTCATCCAAATAAAAATATGACTAAGGCTGTAAATCTACTTCTGTCCTATTTCAATAATAGTCAGGATGAGAAGACGATTAGAATGAAACTGTTCCCTTTTCCCTTCTTACAGTCAGACAGCGAGTTCCCTTTGTACTAGTGCTATAAATGAATGGAAATTATTTTCAAGGCCTAAGCTGTTCTCCTAGTCTGCTAGCCTTTCTGTCACTTCGAAGCAAGACTGAGGCCAGCAGCAGAAATAACCCTGGAGATTCCCGACAGTATCTAAAACACACATGGGAGCTGTGTCTGCTTTTCGACTTTGGGAGTAAATAAGGCAGAAGTCAAAATGGTGGCAGATGTTGAAACCAAACTCCAACATTGAAATCTGCCCTTTAAAATACTGAATTGTTATTGTATATGTGCCTTTGCTGAGAGACACTGTATGTAGTGATGAAAATAACCTCAAAGGATTTGTTTTGAAGCAGTATCAGTTCTGCATTGTGTTGATTCTTAGTTTTGATGTGCACATGTGGGTCAAGAGCTAGTGCACTTACTTCTTCGGCATCCTCCCTTTGCCAGATGGTGGTGCTGTGCTTTGCCGTAGTTTTTGGCAGCTTCTCTCAGAGCTATGGGCCATATCCTTCTGCTACAAAGATGGTGTTACCCAGGCAGCATTCCTCGCCAGAGTCCTACACAGACTCCATTGGTAAGTGACAACTATCCCAGTCTCGCTCATTGCTTGTTGTGCTTCAGCAATTGTTTTCTAGCCCCATCCCTATCCCACTCCTCAAGCACCTCTTACTTTTCTGCTCCTTAGCTGGCTATTTCTTGATATACCTGTGTTTTTCAAAGAAGGATAGTTTGGCAAGCTATGCTGATGGCAGCAGACTTCATAAACACGGGTAAAGACTTTTCCCCACTGGCCTGCTTGGTACTACTGTTTAAAGCTGTTTTATTTCTGTTTGTGGAACTAAAGCTAGTGGTCTGTAAAAGGTAGCAGGATTTCTACTGGGTAGAAAATGTTCGTACTGTTAAAATGCACAACTGATATCAGCTGGTGTTTCCTTTGCCAGTGTCAACAAAGAGTTCAAGGACTGAGTGGCAAACTGGTAGTATTACATACCCGTAATAAACCAGTTGCTTTCAACATATATTATCAAAATGATTGTTTCATTTTGTTCTTGATTTGTGAATAAATCAGAGCTTTTTGATCCCTACCTGGACCATTGCTGTGGTATCTTTCCTCAGCTATCAAATTACCAGTTCATCACTATGAAAAGACAAGACCTTTGCAGCTTTAGTTGTGCTTCAACGATTTCCGTTTTCTGAAATGACCAGGGCTGTTCTCTGAGCTGCCTGTTTCTCATCTCTTTTTGCCTTATGTCTTTGTATGCAGTGAGGTCAAGGAGTCTGCTAATTTATGAAGAGCCTCACCAACTGGAGGAGTCGTCAAGCCCAATCTCCTTTGCGGATCGCAATGACAGGCAAGCAGACACCTCCAAGTACACAGCGCTGTCCCTGGAAGCCGTGCCAGGGACACAGGATGATATCATGCAGTTCACAATAGCCAACGAGACGAGGCTAGAGAAGTCAGTGCTGCTGGGCCTGCAGCAACACAGGTGAGTGCTGAGTGGGCTGCTTGTCATATGGGTGTTTGGCGTCACTGTCATTTGTGCCTGGAGGCCAGCAGTGAGACTAGGGACTCAGGTATGCTTGGCACTGTGAAACATGAAGTAAGAGTTTGGTCTATGTCTAGAGAGCTTATAGGCAAAGTTACTGTTACTTTGCAGAAGTGGTTGCAACAATATTGTAGTAATACAGTGACCAAACTCCATGCTTCTGCCAGAAACCTAACCCTTCTAAGCTTGTTAGTTGTGCGTACCCACTTCTTTAAGGACTTACTTCTGTGTCTCCTAAAGGAATAAGCTTTTGCCAGTTAGGTGGAAGTGCAAGGCTGTGACTCACTGGGCTTTCTATGAGGTTAGGGTGTGAAGAGCTGGAGTGTCTTGCAGCAGAGATCTTACTAATGCATTGCTGTGGAAAGTTTGCAGGACTCAATCTTCAGAGACAGACCTGTAAAGTTATCTGAACTACTTAACACAGAGTTCCTTCATAATTTTATTCTTTTTTTAGCATAAATGTAAGTTTTTAGGGCCTCTGAAAAGACAAGTTTACTGGTTTAAATATGTGCGTGCAATTGTCTTTCCACTGTACCTTTTCTTGTCCTGCCACTGTCCTATTGGCCCAGGTCTTGGTCTCTGCTAACAAGGAGTAGCAAGCACACCAAACAGTGGAGAGAGGGATTTTGTTTGGAGCATACTATTCTGAGGACTAGGATGAGCCATATCACCCCAAGCATGCCTTCTGAGCGGTTGTGTCAAAGTTACAACTAGAGCCAAAGAGATGACTAATTCAGTGTGTTGCTATACTTGAACTGACAAGTACCTGGTAAATACCGAGTGCCTTTTTAGCATTAGCCAATTCAAGCAGGATATGTGCTTTTAAAAATAACTGACTATTAGTGTTAACCTTTGCTGTTTTGGTTTTTTGTTCCTTACAGAGTCAACTCCGAACTAGAAGGAAATGAAACACTGAAGATAATTGAAATAGATAGAAGAGTCAATGCCACCTCTTAAAAATAAAAAAGGCCCTTTTTTTCTTGACTTCCCTCTTTCCCACATATTTTCAACCAAAGTCCCCCTGACTTGTCATCCTCAGTGAACCAAAGCACAAAAGAGAGGGAATTCAACTTCTACATTGACTGGGAGGCTGTGGTTACAGATGCGATCTCTTGTCTTTGTAACTCCCTTCCTCAGTTCACACAAAGTCCCTGTCTTTGCTTTTATTCCATTCCTGTCTAATACTGCAAGGACAGGATTGAATTATGATGGCAGATCATGCCAGCAGTGTGCCAGTGACTGGTGGGTGTGTGTGTGCGTGCAGGCACGCATCGTAATCTGAGCACAAAGACATTCTGTAGAAGAGTGAAATACGCAAAACTGATGGGAGCATGTGGGTGATAGGTTTCTTGGAAGAAGATAATTGAGAGAAAGAGGAGATGCAGCATGATGCTGCTAAGAATCTAGCCACAGCTCCATGCTTACTGGTCTACAGCACTTGAGCCTTTTGGGGGGATTGAGAAGCACATGTGTAGCCTGCTTCTGAAGGGACAAGAAGGGGTCCTGATACTGCTGAGTTAACAGCACAGGCAGGAGAGGGGTGGGCAATGATGCTGCTGAATTTTCCTACCCTAGCTTTTTCTCTTCTCCCTTCCAGGCTCTTTATCATTTAGTAGGGTAGGTTTCTCTCTGGGTTGAAAGTAGTCCTGGTAGGCTTCCCTACTGCTTCCACCCTTGTGGAATTCAAGCAAAGATTAGTCACTGTCTTGTCACACTTTGTGTGGGGAGAATTACACTAGTTTAACTAAATCTGTTTAGAAAGCAGGTTTTGTTAAATTTATGTGATGTTTTGGATGGATGTCCTTTAGTCTGCTTAAGGCTAATCTGTTTAGCTTAAATCAGTTCCTTCCCAACGAACTAAATCAATGTAAGGCTTAAACCAGAAGTGCCTCCTGAGAGGACCATATGGATTTAATTTATTGGCTTCTAGATGTGTTCATGGAATTTCTTATGTAGACCCCACCTCAGATTGTCCTGTGTTTTCCTTTCCTTGTCATCTTCCTGTTACTGTTGTAAATAGTATTTATTAGCTTTGCAAAATTTTGTTCAGGCAGTTGCAATGAAGAGAACTGAGCTTCCCTAACACTGCAAGTGATCTGGGCAAACTGAAATCCAATACACAGTATCACTGAACACCCGTTCCATCCCCCCAAACTTGAATTGCCCTAAAATAAAGCCATGTGTCTTATCTTCCTCTTACCTCCTTTTCCAGAGATGTGATCTTAGACCGGCTGCTTAGCCAAAAAGATAGAGGTATAGGTAGCTCGAGCTAGGCACAGTTCAGGCCTGGAGTTGGTAGATACTGTATTAACTGTATGGCAAGACAGCCTCTGACCTGAGGAGTTGAGTAGGTAGGCAGGAGACAAGGCAAAAGAGGGATGAGATGGGCACATAGGGATGTGAAGTGACTGGCCCAAGTTCAGTGGAAAAGCCAAGAGCAATATTCAGGTCTCATCCTGGTCCAGTACTCTTCTCCCTGCTTTGTTTCCTCCTTGCCCCATGTAGCTGTTGCCTTTAAGGATTCTCCCTCTCTCAGTACCCTGGTCATGCCTTTGCCCAAGCCGTACTTCTTGCAATTTGTCTTTGTAGTCGCACAGTCCAACCTGCCCCAGGATTTGAGCAGGGTTTTATCTGGTCACTACAGAAGGGCACTCAGACTCCATTGAGGATGGATTTAATGTGAAAATCCTAATTCAGCAGGCTAGCATAGCTACTTTACAGTTTACCAGAAGAAGTCAATTTTAAAAAAAAGTATAAAGAATTTTGAAGCTCTTTTTGCTTTTATTTTTTTTCCTAATGAAAAATAGGGGAAAAACTAACCTAGCCTTACCAGTCATTTTTTTACCATGTACAGTAGATATTTCCTGCAAGTATTCTATTTTGTAAAATATTGGATTTGTATTTTATTACAGCAGCTGCTACACCAGCTCCTTTCTTGTTCTTCATTGTCCTTAGACTTTCTTCCTTCGGTATCCTATTTGCCACCCTCAGGCCTGACTCAAAACTCAGTGAAATGAATGGAAAGCATTCAGTGAATTACAGGGGCTGTAGATCAGTCCCTACTGTGCCATTTTAGGAAGGTGTTTCACATTAGTGACAGTGAAACATGTGCCTGACTCCATGAGCTAGTAATGAGTTTTGGTGTACAGATGTACTTTCTAGGTAATACCCTATTCTTCTATGCAAGTGCCTTTTTATTATTTTACCTTTGGTGGCAATGAGAGGAGAAATGCTGTTGTAGTCTATTTTGCAAGTGTTCTCTTCTTAGCATGGGGCAGTCTCCT